GAAAAGCACTGATGATCTAATGTAAAATAATCAGTGCTTTTCCGGAAAAACTATGTTGCTCCCGTTCGGGCAAAAGTCTTTTTCCGGAAAACTGTTCCGGAAAAGGGCCAGTGTAGACAGTGCAGTAGTGTTTTCCGCAAAAAAGCCCCGATCGCGAAAATGGCAATCGGGGCTTTTTTGCGGAAAAGCACGTCTAGATTGGCCACAGATGATTTTCTGGAAAAGGTGCTTTTCCGGAAAAGTGTCCTGCCAATCTAGATGCGCTTTTCTGGAAATACTTTTAACGGAAAACCTTTTCCGTTAAAAGCATTTCCGGAAAATCATGCCAGTGTAGACGTAGCCTCACAGTTTAACAGAAAGATTTGACATCATTTGAGGGCTTCAGGAGATGCAGAATACTAGATCTCCTGGAAACGAAAAGATTGGATGCATTGTGAACAAACCATTTGGTACTTCGTGATCCATGAGTCTCTATTTGTCAGGTACACACCACTTCCATATAAGCATCCTAATACGGATTCTGATTGTAGTTCAGATAAACTACTGCATGCTCAAACAAAGGAGGTTTCTTCATTCCTTAGTAATATCTCATCAAATATAAAATCAAGTATGTTGGCTTCTAATTGAAAAGCCTGTTCACAAACCAAACTGACTTTCACAAGAAACTAATCTAGGATTTCACTTAAGTTTGAAAATTGATGAAATGGCATTTGATAATAAGTAATGTGACTTTGGCTAATATAGCGCTCTTAAGGTCATGCAACTCAGTTGGACCTTCAGATTTTATTGAAGTGCATCTGACATTGAAAGATTTAAGGATGCAAATGATCGGAAGCTACTACTAGAGGGCAAAGCTCGATACGTCTAGAGTAGTGGAAAGCTGACAGGCAGATGCCAGATATCTGGCAAAGTGTTCCACCAATTGTGAAATTTAAAACCCAGAAAAGTAACTAAACTGGAGTGAAACTCTCTTCTTTTAGTCTCAGCTGTGTAAAAGCCAATTAAAAGATGTTTACAGTCTTGCCACTAGCTAATTACTGTAAATACCAAGGACAGTAATTCTAACCAGACATATTGGCAATCTGAGCTTAGGTCTGATGAATCTGAAACAACCTAAAAAGGCAGTCATTAATACTTGGTTACGTAGACCAGCTAATCAAATGATGTAAAGAATACCAGACCAAAATTCAGGCAGACTTTCAATGCCTGCCACCTGATTGTCAAAAATGCTCCGCTGTGCCATATATAGTGAAGTACACTCTTACTGACCTGTTTTTAGTGACACTGACAATTCTCTTAGGAACACATCTGTCCTCCTACATGTTTTATCCAAGTGCCAGCAGCAAGCAATAGATTTCATATGCTCTTCTCCCTCTATGGTTTGGACAATGATCCTGCTACCCATACCTGCCCATGCAGAAGGCTGGATATCATTTGGAACAGTATGGTGTGATTCGTGAGAACATTGACACTCCACACATTTGAATCCTCCTCCAAGGCTTCTTTCAGACAAGGACCTATACTGCAGGAATTTATCTAGTTCATCAGTGGCCATTGGCCAAGATGAGTAGAGGTGGTGTCCCTAGCCTTGGTTTGCCAAAGCGTGGAATAAGCAATGGCATGGATTGCTTAAAAATTACATGTTCTGTTCATTACTTCAGAAGCACCTGGCATTTTCTATTGTCAGAAAGCAGGTTACTGGCTTAGGCTTTTGGTTTGACCCCGTTTGACTATTCTTATGTTCAGCTTGTGCCTGATTGTTGTCATTCATGGAACTTAAACTTTTTCACTAATTTGTTAGGAGCAGGCTTGTGTTAGGCAACTGGACACACAGCCAGTGTCCTACCTTCATGGGCTGATCAGTGTGTGAAACTCTTCTCTGGATAGTCCAAAAACCGTGGCCAGAGCTGCAAATATAAACCCAACTAGATTTCAGGGAGTGGGGATGTTGAATAAAGGATCAAAAAATCTGTGTTGTACATTTTTTTGGATTAATTGAAACCCAGCAAGGGTACGAGTTCCTATTTCTTATATGCAGCAAAAATCTCTGATTTGAGACTTTAGTGTTAATTTAATGCAAACCCTTGTCCTGATTCTGTATCAATCTTCTTGACCTATATCAACACTAGACCTAGTGATGACACAACTTGTAGTACCAACATCAAATTCAAAACAATGTGCCCCTGGGAGAAGATACAGAATTGTAACTCGGGTGGTCTAACATCCCTTCATTGTGATTGACCATAATTGATGTGAAGTGTCTTATTCCAAATTCATACTCAACTTAATTGAATTGATTTTAAACAATTCCTACATCAAAAGGGAGATGAAAATGTCCACTCAGTGTGTGAAAACAAATAAGCCAGCTGCATTGTTCTGACATCTGGTGGGATCTTATTCCTGACTCCTTAGTTAGCTCTTCTACCTGACCTGTCAATAAAGGTGCATGCACTGGTTGGTATTCTACATTTCAAATAATGGCTCTCTTACTCATTCACTGTGGCTTGATATTTGGATTTTACAATTTGGCAGTGAGAATCCTCTAGGAAAAAGTCCAACTTCAGCTACAGTAGCTGTTGCCCAAGAATAATTAGGAAATGCCAGCATGAGAGCCACAGCATAGAATTTAACACCTTTTTACACTTGGGACTGTACAAGTTTTCCAGCATTTACAACTTTACTGGAATACCTTGTCCCTGCTTAAGTGCAGTTTCAGGCTTGGTGATACTAGCCTTCACAAAATGAGCTGATATAAATTGATTAGTGAGGCTTAAACCTTCCAGTAAGTGTTCTTGGCTCTCTAATTTCTTGTTAAGCTTGACCCAGGTCTAAAGTCCATGGGCCTGACGTTGTCTAGCAGGATTTCCTTTTCCTGCTGGAGAGGGTGAGTGACAGTGAGCACTAGATGCTATAAATGCAGTGCATTATAGTTTAAATTGTTAGTAGAATTGAAACAACTGTAGTTTCCACTAAAACTAAGACAACTTATTGGACTGACACTGGTTTCATTTACATTCAAAGTTGTGGCTGACTTATTTATTCTGAAATAGTCCTCTTGTCTATTGGGCCTAAACTCTTACAGCAATTTCAGGAGCATGTTAGGCAAAGTAGACTAGCTTTTTTTAAAGGATTCTTAGACTTTCTTGATGTTAGTTTCACAGCCTTAATTGTCAAATTTGTCTGAATACTCTTGTACTAAAGAAAAATGAAGAATGAAACTGTGCTAAGGTACTTAGTTTCGGGTCCTTTTGTTTAATACAGGCAGTCCCCGAGTTAGCGGATCCGACTTACGTCAGATCCGCAGTTACGAACGGGGATTTTCTCGCCCCGGAGGACTGGAGCGGCAGGACGCCTGGTCCCGCCGCCTGCCTCCTCCGGGGTGAGAAAAGCTGTTCCCCGTCTCCCTGGTCTGCTGGGGGAGCCAGCAGACCAGGGAGACCGGAAGCAA